AGAAGAGATTAGATATGGACAATAGAAGTTTGATAGGAAAGAAGGAGCAAGCCACACAACGTGCAGAGCACCCGCCAACCACCTACCCACCGACTGGGTATACTCGAGCTCACCAGGAGGAAAGGTCGTTGTGCCATTTCGCCCAAGCACGCGCGAGGAGGCAATCACCGAAGAACGTGAGCACTAACTTTAACGAGCTACACGTGAGTGAGCCCACTCATTTCTAACGAGCCGCACATTATGGCTAGTACACACTACAGAAAGTTACTGGGTGGTTGGCGGGTGCTCTGGTGTGATTTGCTCCTTTTCTCTCCTGTCAAACAACTATCGTCCTTATCTCTCCCCCTTTTTGTGTCTGTAACTCTCTTGTAAGATCTCTTATCTTCGGCGCTTATATGACCTAATTCTGTTGCAAGTACAGCACCGTACAACATTTGCTTTAAAAATTTCAGCCCAAAAAGTTACATCAAATTCCTATTTGAAATGATTTGAGGTCATATTTTGAGGCAGGACAGATCTCAATTATACAGAAGCAAAAGCTACCATTTTAGTAGCACAGTATGATCAAATGCCCCAAATATCAAACACGTTCAATTTTCAAGGTCACGTTCGGGTGTGTTTGAAGAGAACCGTCGCCAACAGCCAATCTAAAGGCTATATCGTATCGTGTCCTATGACATTTCGGGGTCACATCTTTTTCTTTCGTGCGCGGAAGGCCCTAAAGGACTCCTGGATCAAACTTGATGAACAAAAACCCCCCAACCCAACACAATTCTATTTGATACAGTGTGCACCGACACGCATCATTACCCGACCGATTCGATCTGATCATGCATTTGATGACCAATATGTATCTGTTCTAATTAAGTACATAGTAATTCATAACCTTTGAATCACAAAGTTCTAACTGACATGTTTGGCCGTTTTGAGTTACTAAAATCAGGGTCAGAAACGAAATGTTGTATCTGCTGAATCAAAATTAAAATCGTAAGGTTATTCTGAGTCATTATCAAGATATCCACATAACTGCATTCGAAAAAGGGTAACATGTTGTAAACCTCAACATTTTTAAAGTCAAATTTCTCAAAACTTTTCTATGTACTGAGCAGATAAAACATTGTAATTCTAGGGTCTCGCGCCGATCCGATTCGATCTGATTATGCATTTGATGACCGATGAACATCTGAGCTTACTTAGGCCATAGTAATTGTCTCTTCTGAGGAAAAAAAATCACCAAAAAACAAAACAAAAACCTACCAGCACTCTCATTTTCTCGGCCTTCCCAGACTCAGTTCAGGAATGTGTTTTCGGTATTGCCTTCGCCATGACTCCGAGTCATTATGCACGCTTATGATAATGAGCTCCCTGTCCGCAACAATAGCGCACAGAGGTGTCTCAGCGTTTCGTTTCCACCCAGCACGCATGCACCAACACGCGTGCACAACGAGACAAGCATGCCAATGAGGGAATCGAGATCAAGAAGCGAATGAGTGTTCTCGGGGTAGGAGAAGGAACGACAGTGTGTCTGTTTTGGCAATTTCCACCTCAGCCAATCTCGATGGGTGTTTCATTTTCTAATTTTGTTTTTGTATGACTTTTACGGCACTTGCTACACAATTAATTTTTATAAATTGTTTCGGTAAGAGTTTTACGACACTTGCAATACAATAAGGTAAAAAAAAGTGCAAAGATTAGGTGTTACAAGAGAGTAACAAACAAACAAAAGTGAGAGATAAGGACAATAGATGTTTGATGGGGAAACCGCCAACCTTACATTTTCTAAAGGTATGCATAATGTCGTATCAATAATTGTACGCCTCTTTCAACATGGCGACACACGAAACATCCAAACTCCACGTCCACCTCCGAGAGTGTCGACACAAACAGAGAGCCTCAGAAACCTCCCAACAGCCACAGTTCAAGACCGCCCTACTGGGGTTTCAAACCAGGATCCCCCACACTCTAGTCCAGCATCATTCCAACTGAGCCATCAGAGTTCCCAATTACATGTAATAAGAATTACATCAATGCATTATTTTGTATTTTTTACCTATCTAACGCAAATGATGTTTGAAGGAAGAAGAAAGAAAGACAGTTTGAGGGATGAGAGAGTGGGGTCCAAAGAAAAAAAAGAGATAATAATATAGAATAAAAATAGAAGCAAAAACAGAAATAAAAATAGAGGTAAAAAGTACCCCCGTCGTCCCTTTCCAGTGTATGTAGCGCAGACAGAACTGGCGCCAGGGACTGGCAACAGGGCAGAGGCTGAACAAATTACACACCAGTTTCCGGTAGTAATTAGACACCGCTCACCGCATGAAGGCCTGGCTTTAACATGCACCATCTACTTCACCCTGTCACTTTTTATAGCTTCTTTTCTCTCTATCTCTCTCATCCTTCTTTCTCTTTTTCTCTTACTGTGTTTCCTTTTTCCTCTCTCTCTTTTCGTTCTTTCTTTCTCTATCTCTTTATTTCTCTCTCTCATTCTTTTTTACCCCCCC